TTAAAAAAAATAATAATAAAAAAAAATAAAATGCTCGCTCAAGGTGGTATAAAACTTAGTGGTAGCTTTAGATCGGCATTCAAGCTGTTTGTGCCATATAATCAAATGGTATGAAGAAGGATGACATTAACAATAGCCTAAAAATAATAGCTGACATGCCCGGAGCCCTTTGAAACACTGCACACGCAGCTTCTAGTCTTCACCGCAATTCTACAAGGCAGGGATCCTTTTTATTCCCATTTTACAGATGAGGAAGCACAGGGGAAGTAGTCCCTCCGCTCATACGTGGCCATCCACCCCTCCCTCCGCCCACGCGCCTCCCCGTGGAGGCCGCATCCTGTCCAGGCTCTCGGCCTTTCGCCCGCCCCAGCCCCAGCCAGCCACTTACTGGCCACCTGCAGCCACACTGGGAACCACCGCGTCCCGTTCCGCAGCTCCTGGCAGGTATAGTTGCCTTCATCCTGCAGGCTCAGCACCTCGATGTGCAGGGAGCTGGCGTTGACCAGAGAGAAGCGAGGCTCCGCTGGCATGAGGCTCGCGTTGGAAGACAGCAGCAGAACGGGCTCCGAGTCATTCCGGTACCAGGTCACCAGGCCCCTGGGGCCCGAGATGTTGCCACAGTGCAGAGTAACGTTCTCGTGAAGCTCGCCGACGATAACAGCCTCCAGTCCTGTAGAAGAAAACGGCCCGCTGTTACTGCCTCCCTCTCTGTGGTCCTGAGGTCTGCGTCCAAGGTCTCTGCACGGGACTCCACCCTCGGCACCCTTGGCTCTTTTTATGTTTCTTATTTTGAAACCAGGTCTCCGAAAGTTGTCAGGCTGAGCTCTGATTTGCAATTCTCCTGCCTCAGCCTCCTAATAGCTGGAATTACATGTATACACCACCACGTTTGGCTGTTACTACCCTTTTTCTTGTGGGACTGGGGATTGAACTCAGGACCCTGCGCTTGCCAGGCAAGCGCTTATTCTTTTTTTTTAAACGTTCTTTCAGGCTTTCTTTCTTTCTTTTTTAATTTTTTTTTTTTTTTTTTTTTTTCGGAACCAGGGATTAAACTCAGGCCCTTGCACTTGCCAGGGAAGCACTTATTCCACTAAACCATCTCCCCAGCCCCCAAGCACTTATTTTGAGCTATTCCTCCCACGGTTACTACCTTTCTTGATCTCTAAGCAACTACTACCTTTTTGGAACACTCTCTCTGCGTTGGGATTTTTTTCTTTTAACTCAAGAGCAAAGTTTTAAGAGTCAGTTGTGTTAGGATTCAGGCCCATTGTTGATATTCATGAACATGGGGTCGACTTCAGACATCGTCCCAGGTCCTCACTCACAGTCCACGGGGCCACCAGGGTACCTATCCTAGGACAAGTGTGTTGGGCACTGAGGATCCAAGGATGAGCCAGACGGAAACTTGAAGGCTTTCACAGGCCAGTGGGGAAACAGAGTGGCACTTACAACTCCACGAGAGTTGAGCACAAAGATAAGAGCTCATTCTTACCCACTTGCTTTTTTTTTTTCCTAATGTGGAATAAGATACTATTTAATTTTGTTCTTCCATAGCTAATTTTTTTATGTGTATGCTTTAATGATTTTTTTTCTTTACAATTAGTTTTGGACAATTTCATTTTTGTGTATGTTGGCATGATTTTATTCAAATTTCTTAGGCAAAGGGTTCATTTTTCTTGAAGATGTGGTGCTATAATTTCAACTAAATTCAGAAATTTTAAATCTTTAAACATTTATTGCATACCCCTTTCTACTCTGAGAATTCTAATTACATGAATATAAGTTTCTGGATTCTGGCACAGAGTGAATTGTTATATGACTGATTTATAAATTCATTCTTCTTCTTCTTCTTCTTCTTCTTCTTCTTCTTCTTCTTCTTCTTTTTTATTTATTTTTTTGAGGTACTGGAGATTGAACTCAGGACGTTGTACTTGCCAGGCAAGCGCTTATTCTACTGAGCTATCTTCCCAGCCCCCATTTTTATTTTAGAAAATTTTTATTGTTATATTCATTTAAGTTTGTACATAATTTATTTACAATGTGCAATCTATTACTAATCTCATGCTATGTATTCATTTCAGAAATATTTCTCTAAAGTTCACTCTGTCTACATCTTTTATCTGTCACATTTCAGTATTTGTCTACAATTTTTAATATGCTATATAATTATTGATTTTCACTAAAGTTAATGAGGAAAAAAAAAAAAAAAAAGATAACAGCCCAGCTGGGGCACGAGTCCTCCAGGAAGCAAACTGAGATCTGAAGGGTAAGTAGTGGTCAGCCAGGTAAAGGTGAGGATGTGGCTCCCAGGCAGACGGGAACCCGCTTGCCGAGGCCCAGGCCAAGGCTGGACATACAGCAGTGGCCGTAGAACTTTTGCCCAGCATGTGTGAGGCCCTTGGTTCCATTCCCAGCTCCACAAAAGATCAACCAATCAATAATAAAATAAAATCAGTGGAACCAAAAGCTGACCAGATTCGACCCCCGGGCCTGCCGAGCTGATCCCACTGCTGATCCTGCCCCTGGGAGCGAGCTGAGACTGAGACGCCATTGAGACTGGGCGTGGTGGTGTGCACCTGTAATCCCAGCTCTTGGGAGGCTGTGAACAGGTGGATCACTATGAGTC